GGTCGAGAGGAGAGCCAACCTGAAATCATCAAGTATCATAATTGTGATTAATTTGTAAAGGAATAAAACTCCCAGCTCAAAGTAATTAACCAAGGTTTAATTAATTCGACATGTATGTAGTTTATATACAGGAGAAATATAGAAGACGATAATTCTACTGTTAATCAAGTCAACGCCTACATGCCCTACCGCAGTCGCAGGAGACTTCTTCACCCATTTCGGTTAATATCGAGCTGTCGGGCACCCAACTAAAGAGAAAATCAACAGCGACACATTACGTCAATTTTGACAGTTTCTTCCATTTCTTTATTTTTCTTCTTTCAATTATTTTTTCTACCACGGTGTTTTTAATCAAGTTTGTAATAGTATTAGTTGGTATATATATCTTTTTACTTTAATTTGCCTCTCTCAAATCACCACTGGGTGATCAAGTGATCAACTAAAATTTTTGAATGTATTACTTAAGAAATGTCATGAATTTGATATCCTGTTTTTAATTTCAATGTTGCAAAGAATTAGTAAAAGTGTGATCAAACTAACTCGTCAGGTGACAAAAAAAAAAAAAAAAACAAATTGCCTCTCTCTGTGTAACTTCATCCAAAATAAGTCTACTTCAAACATAACATTTATAAATGATTATGTAACGTTAGACTCATCTTTGTTATCGATATAAAGTGTGTTTTTCTCTTGCATGCATAAACATTTTTTTTTTTAAAGTATATTTCATTAATTATTATTGGATTATATTTCTATTGAATTATTCTATAGTTTTAAACCAGTTATTATTGAAGTACAAATTAATCGACTCAACAAATGCTATGCCCCAGCTACAAGATGAGGTTGAGCAATTGCAGGGATTCTTATAACAATGGAAAAGAAGAATAAACATAATATAATTTTAATCAAACAAAGATTTCCCAGATCACATAATTAATTAATTTAATTACCGGTTTAATAAAAAAATATGATCTATGTTTCACAATTATTATCAAACCCTAATGTGACAAGTGGGCAAGAGCAAACGTATACAATAAAAAAATGAGAAAACCAAAAAGGGGGGCATTAAAAAATCGAAGGCTTTTAGAAGAAGAAGCACTTATTGACCTCGGTTTCCTCGTTTAATAATTTTATTTTTTGAGAGATTAAATTAATGAAAATGGGAAGAAGAAAGAGGTCAAGAACCGCAACTACGTAGAAATAACAAGAAGAAACTATCAAAACTATTCAAAAAGCTAACTCTCTCACTCCCACAAATAATATTATCTTAATTGATTAATTTTAATTAATTAATTAATTAGATGGAGAAATTAAACATGGTTCTGTTTGTCTTGAAGTAAATCGTAGAATCTATGCATTGACAGTGTGATAAATTTCATCATCAATAAGACCAAATTTGGAGACTCTTTTGAGTGGAGAGCTGGTAAAGGGTGAGTGGACCTCGTCAAGTTAAAGATAAGCTTGGATAGCACTTGGTTTTATAAATAAATATATTAATTAATTAATTAATTATGGTCTGGAATTATTGGTGCTAACTTGATTGATGTGAAGAAAATTAAATATCTAAGTCTTTAGAGGAAGCTTAATTTCCTTCTCTTAACATTCATGCTTGCTTTTGAAATTTAAACATATTCTTTGACTTTTTGTTGGGAAATTCAAACTCAGGTTTGGTTGGTCTAGTTACTTTGTAAAGTTTTAACCATTTTAATTTTGGAGAGAAATTAATAATGTTCTTATCAAAACGATCTGATATTAATTATCGTTAAATTCTTATATGTAATAATATAATTTTAGTCTAATTTTAATGATGATTAAGCACGATTTTGGTAGTCTTAACTAAAGAATTTCCATAAAAATACTTAATATTTTGACTTATATGTAGGCAATGTTGAAAGCTCACATTCCTTGAATTAGGATATTGCTAATTTTTCCTTTTTAATTAATTTAATTTCATCAATAAAAATATTTATTAATCTCTGATGAATTAATTCCATCCATATTATACATTTGCAGTGCACAAGATATACAATATGGTTTTCATACCTTTTTCCTTCATGAAAATAAGTGAAAGTTATGAAAATTTTCAGATATACAAAGGGTGTATATAAAAGTAAATTACAATTAAAAACCATGAAATGTGAACACCTGTACTTAAATTGTTTCATCATGTTTATGGTGAACAGGTGATTCATAACCAACTATATATAATAAAATTTCATATTATCGTGGTAATCAGATCAAAGTTGTATTAGAAAAACTTTATTATTGTTTATAAAAATATAATTTTTAAGGATCAAATAGCTATATGTAGCATGCATGTATTACAGAATTAAATACTTATTTGATTAACTCAAGGACTAATTAACAAGAACCAAAGGGCACTAGAATTAACCTAGAATAATTGTCATTCTGCTTCATTAAAAGTCATATTTTTTAAAAAAGTGATCCAGAAAATTAAGCTTGAAATTTTCATGGAAAAGAAAAGTAGTTGAAAAACCAGTGAAATTAAGGCCCTCTTAGCACGACAGGAGTTGACAAATAAGCAATCAATAGTGGACTTAGATTCTATAATATTTATTGATTCGAAAATAATTAAATACAGTGATGACTAATGACTTGCTCAACTTCAACACTGCATATAATAAAATTAATTNGATTAACTCAAGGACTAATTAACAAGAACCAAAGGGCACTAGAATTAACCTAGAATAATTGTCATTCTGCTTCATTAAAAGTCATATTTTTAAAAAAAAGTGATCGAGAAAATTAAGCTTGAAATTTTCATGGAAAAGAAAAGTAGTTGAAAAACAAGTGAAATTAAGGCCCTCTTAGCACGACAGGAGTTGACAAATAAGCTATCAATAGTGGACTTAGATTCTATAATATTTGTTGATTCCAAAATAATTAAAGACAGTGATGACTAATGACTTGCTCAACTTCAACACTGCATATAATAAAATTAATTATGTTGTTATTATCACCATGCACTTTAAGTAAAATATAGTGTAAAAAATGCTACAAACAGACGCTGTTGCTGAGCTCAATTGGGTCTCTCAAGTTATCAAAAATTGTCAACCCTTATCCTTTATTTTATTTTATTTTATATTTTTTTGGTAACAACCCCATCACAACGAGCATTCCAAGGGACTTACTCGGCTCCTTTCACTTGGAAATTTTAATTCTAACAAGGGATTTTGTGTTACTACATCCACCTTCCATGCAAATTCCCAATGGGGCCAATTCCCCTTTGATTAAGTTATTATTGTTAATTATGTTATTAAGCGACACTAATTTAATGTTTTCGAGTTGATATATCATTTAAACTTTTAGATCATCAATAAAAATATTATTCTAAGTTAATTATCAACGTATTATTAAGTTATATATACGAAATAAATTAAAGAAATAATGTTATAAATTTCAAAAAACTTCTCTAACTTTCTTGTTTCAAGTCATTTTTTTATCAAATTATGAGATAATGTCATGTAAATAATAAGTAGATGTAATAAATGATAATGATATCGATGTATTAACTTACATTTTACTAAGAATATATATATTATGACCAGGGGTGTTCATGCTAGTTTACGTGCACCTCAACTAATCCTGCGAGATCCTGAAACTATCTATCGAGTAAGAGTTTCAGTTACTACCCTCATTAGCAACAAGGGGGAGCTCAAACTTAGGACCTCTTGAGTAATACACTCAAGAGTTTCTATGAACTACTCGATTATCCAGAGATAGTTAGAATAGAAAATTTAGTACATCACTTGCCCTCGATGGCAACATATAGGTTTCTAGAGAGCAAAGAAATTGCAAGCATTACAAAAATTCAAAAAAATAATAGTAAGAGAATGGATGATGATGATTGTGTCATAGAATTTGACCTTGTGGATTTTGGTTACCTCAATAGAGTTGGTGATGCCAAGCCTCCTACTTCACATTCTTCCATCCTTCTTTTAATTAATCATTAGAAGACCAATTAATTAAACACCATCTCAAACCCCATTTCAATGGCATGTTTCGTTGAAGAATAATGTAAAGTCAACCAGGTGTTTGAAAATTATCAGTACTACTACTCTTTGTTTAATTAATTATACAATTAATCCCAGGTCTTCCCTCAGTAGTATTATTAATGTGATTAAATTCTAATAACAATAATAAACTTAGAGTTGGTAATTAACTATGGAACCCACCAGTGGGCTTCATATTTTAAAACCTTAGTTTCACCTTCTTCACTTGCTCTCTTGACCCTGCTACCTAAAATGAACTGTTTTCGACATTGATGAACTGAGTGTTGCTTTATAATTGGATCCTAATTTGAAATTAAGTGACAGTCAATTTATGTTAATTAAAGTCATTCTCGCAATGTTAAAAAGAAGAGATGTTTGTACTTTACATGTACTTAATTATTTAATCTTTTCTGAACTAATTAGTATGATTAAAATAACAAGTGTGAATGTTACTTTTATATGGAATCAAGTCAAGAGTAGTGTATCAAAATTCTAGATAAGGGTACCTTAATTCTTGAAATCAACTAGTATGAATGCTACTTTTACATAGAATCAAGAGGAAAAATAGATCCATTTAATATTCTAGAAAGGGGTTTGTTACTGGGATAACCTTACTGGAGGAGGGCAGCATTCAATCCTAAGTTTTATTAAATTAATTTTTCATATATATATTCATCTATTCAGTAGACCATATCAAATTATCATCTTTTTATATACCATATTTCTTTTAATCCACAATTGAGACTAGAATAGATATTAATATCTCTTTGGACTAAGCTATTATTGACAATTATTTATTCCTTCTTTTTTCAACCTGCTTTATTGGCCTACTTTATCTTGCCTGGAAATACCTTACTGTAGAAAATGAATACTGATTTCTAGTTTATATAATTTTCTACGTGCTTAAATCCAACAAAGGAAATCAAATATATAAACCACATTTGCAAGAGCTTCAAAGCAGCAAATTTTTATTCCAGAAACTTAATAGTATTTCAAGGAAAAATCATATTACATTATACATCTATCTATAAGTCTCTTCATTGTAGGAAAATAAGGAGAGACTATGGATGCAAATTCTTTAATAAAAATGAAGCACAGCGAAAAGATTCATAATGGACAGGGTCCCAAGTTCACCTGATATTTTGAAGCAGAATATGAATGTGTTCTCTCATGATAAAAACTTAGAACACAATATTTCATATTTAACCTATGTACAAATCCTTCAAAAATAAATTAAAAACTTGGTCCCGTGTTGTCGAATAATAGTAGAGATTCGCCTTTCATACTGCCACCGTGTTCATATATATCCAAAGTAACAAAATCCTGTTAAGGGAAGTTCAGATCACTTAGTCACCATGGAAACCAAAGACATGATATGAAATTATATGGTGATGAGTGACAAGAACTCACATTCGGATTGTGCCCTCGTTGCCCTCCTTTTGGTGTTTTATGAAGTCTTCTGGGCAGAATCCAGTCTTTAGAGCCATATAAAGGGATTCTTTTCGTGGCAGTTCAACGAAAGGTTCATTTATGTAGAGCACCAAGGAAGAGTATTACATTATTAGTCTGCAATACTTCAAAACCGAGATGTGATCTTAAAGTGACATATAATAATTTTATTTTTTTCATCTTCTCAATACGACAGAGCAAAGTGAAATATACTGGCTTTTATATTTAAGAGTTATTTCACATTGATCGCAGCCGCCATACTCCGTAGCTTCTGAGAGATTTCTGAAAACGATGGTCTCTCTGCCGGATCAGATGCCCAACAACTTTCCATCAGAGACTTCCATTCAGGATCACACCATGTTGGAATTTTTGGGCGTAACGTGTTGTTCACAATTCCTCCTGCAAATCGTCATTTGATCACCATATTAATCAACTTATAGCTCACATCTTGAACATTTTATCACTAAAGCCGAAACATGTAAATACTGACAGGAAAAAGAAAAAGAAAAAGAAAAAGACAAAGAATGAACTTCTCAAATCCTTGTTCGAAATATAAAGTCTATGCATGCTGTAATCTTCTTCTCAGATGGTAAAGAATTTTGAAATTTTTGAGAGAAATAAAAAGCTGATCATTAACTCGCATACGGTGAAGTAGAACTCCACAATCAACCAGCACATTGACATTATAGCTCACTTCCTGGTTATTCTTCCAAGCATAAAGAAAATTAACATATAAATGGAGTATAAAAGAACTTCAGAAACATATCTGAGGTTGGTCTCTCCTGGTGAGAAATATCTGAACTTAGAGTATTTGGACTTGGAAGTGATAAAATCTAACAGGATAATCCTAAGCTCTGAGGTCAGAGTTACAAAACTTTCAAACAAAATGATCAACACTGTAAAAGTAGGTTATGATTGTACAAATCTTCAGTCATCGTTTTCAACAAAATTATAAATCAAACAAATGATGCAACAATTCTAGAACTCAAATATAAGCAAGAAAAATCTACGCCATCTTTAATGCTTTGATGTTTTAATAATAAATAATCCCTATAAAATCAGAATCAAAGTTCCAACAGCCCAACACAATACATAACTAGTCAGTCAAGTCATGAATTCTCCAGTGCTTCTATTGAGGGAAAGAAGATGAAAGAAAAAGCAAAAGAGGATCTCAGGTCTTTCAAAAGATTAATCAAAGTGGCCCATTTAAATTATTCCGAAGCAATAAGACATCAAATATATCATAAATCCAGAAACAATATATTTAGTTCCTTTCTTGTGTCACACATAAAGAGAAATGTTCTAAGGCCAAAATACAGACAGGACTATCATACTGGATAATAATTGCAAGAGATGTCAAATACAATCCAAAAAGCACAATGCATATCATATCGTGAATCACATTGGGAAGCACAAGCAACAAGAATCTCCATCCTCACAAATATAGAGAATAATGTTATTATGTTAAAATGCGGGAAAATGCGTCATACCATGAGTTGGATAGAAAATACGGTCTACTGTTATTTTTATGCTTACCAATAATAGAAGCACAATGCATATCTGTATAAGGTTCATCCCCCGTAAGTACTTCCCACATAACAATCCCAAACGAGTATACATCAATCTACAGCAAGAAAACCAACAGAACATGAGACAAAATAGTGAAAAGGATAGCCAATATCCAAAAAAAGGTAGAAGAAATAAAACTTCTTAAGTTGAGGAATTACACAAAATAATTTTACCTTTTCCGTTACCATGTGACTTTTTCCACTCAGAAGCTCAGGTGCCATCCAGGGTAAAGTTCCACGAACACCTCCTGACACTAATGTCTGTTGCTTTACCTTTGACAAGCCTAAATCACCAATCTAGAGGAGTAGGCACAAGTTTGTCAGTTAAAAAATCTGTGCCCCATGTAATAGACCATTACTACCGAGTTTAAGACGTAACTTGAAGCAAAAAGGAGGAAGAACAGGAATAACAAAGTTGGACACCATAAAATCCTTCTCAAACCGGAGAGTAATATACAACAATTACAGAAAGCTGACTACGAAATTCACAATGTTCAAAGAACTCCAAAACCAATGACCAAAAATAATGTAGAGGGAGAATTATCGGATACTGTTAAGAAAAAGTTGGAATCAAATTTAAAAGTGTCATTTGTACTGGCATATCTGACTTAGAGTACCTTGCATACTGGTCGCTGAGGATCTCTCATATTCACTAACAGATTTTCACATTTTAAATCAAAATGTACAATGTTCTTTCCATGCAAATACTCCATTCCAAAAGCTGCATCCATAGCTATGATGAGTCTCTTACGCCGGTCAATAGTTCTGCTCAACAAATTATAACATCAGATATTCTAAATTCAAAGCACCATAATCTTCTTCTTTACTTGATGTTTAGCCATAAAGAAATTCCATTCATGCATCAGAAATCAATGAAAATTCTTAGAACAAAGAACCGTAACATTATAAATGGAAACTCAATACATTGCCATCAACATGATTACCTGTCCTTCTTCTGCAAAAACTGTTTCAATGATCCATTAACCATGAATTCTGTCACAGTTGCTAGAGATCCATCAGGACCATCACGTACTATACCATAAAAAGACACAACATTTGGATGGTGCAAAGAACTCAATAACAAAGCCTCCTTCCAGAAATCCGCAATCTGAAAAGCAACATATAAGTAATCTGATAGACCCCAATCACTCAGATATTTGAAGAAGAAGAGAAGAGCCAGTAGAGGCCAATTGGGTCATAATCATAATCATGCATAAAATTCCAAGAAAAAAACGAAAAAGAGAAATAAATGACAAAATATGCATATAACGTATAGTAATAATAATTTTAGCATAGTTTATGTAGATTGGCTTCACAAATGCTTCAATTAATTAAAAATAAACATCATCCAAAATTTTAGCTTTAGACCGGTCCTTATTCCCCAAGTATATAAAACAAAGTCCTGATGCAAGTAAAACAAAGAGTCCTGCATGCTTATCATCTAAGAATTTGACCAGATAGTTATAATTATATTTTCATTCACTTGTTCTAAAGTTTGACCAAATTATAAGCCCGCCCCATGGTTCAGAAAATAGGCATGAACAAATAAATTTTATGAAACTCAGGAGAGGTATTAGATGAAGTTCAAAGGACATTTATGACAGATTTAAACCTCACTGGGGATTTCTTTAACTGGAAGGGATTTCCGCCTAACCTGTTCTAGTTCTGTCAAGTTTTGTGGTTACTTATGATGTACAAATTGAAATAGTTTTTTGGGATTTTCATGTATAGACACTTAGGGTAATGATCGCTGTTGGGTTTCTGTCCACTCTGGTCTCTCTCTTTACGCCCATTAATATACTTACCTTCAATTTCATTTTTCAAAAACCAAGGGAAATTGCCAGTGATTAGGTAAATTATTACAGGTGGTCAATACAATTTTCCAACACTATTAATGATAATAACAATAATATATAAGAACCTGAGAACAAGGATCACAATCATGACAAAATAAAAAATGTATAATTACATAAAAACGAAATCAGATGATTCATATACAAGATTTTGTTCTAAGCAAATTACAGAGCAAACAAAGACAGAGATAACCACTAAGGCAGAGTTCAATATTGCCTTCAATGTTTTTGTTTCTAAAAAATAAATTTGAACATAAAAATAAGAAGTTTGTTTTCATGTCCTCAAAAATTGAAAATGCATTCGCAATCATTTTCTAATAATAGTATCTGAAAAAGGAAACAGTAAAAACACATCTGTTATCATTTATGCATGACAAATATGAAAAATAGAGAATGTAAATATAGAAAACTCTTTTTACGTTTTGCGTGTTTTCAATTTTTTCTGACAAATTCAATTCTCTGTTATTCTTATTTTTTGTTTTAAAAAATGGAAATGGTATGTGAACAAATATTACAAATTTTCCAAGATCAAATAAAAAGAAAAACAAGAAAAAAAAATTAAAATTAAAACGTTAGACAACTGACCCAAAGCATCTACCAAAACCGTAAAAACTTAAGCAAATTAAAGCGTAGACAAACAGGGAGTCAGACCCCAAAGATGTTAAACACTACAATAAATAAAGTTTGAACTAAAACTAGCATTCTGAGCATTCACTAAAGAAAAGTCTTATACAAACTTTGTGCTAACTGAAAAACCTTTACTAACAGAAAAAAGTTAATTGCATACTTCTTAAAATACAAAATTATAAAGAAAAAATGACAGAAGGGGTTCATAATGTACAATTCTAAAAGTTCAAAATATATGTGTGCATATAAGATCAAATTGCTAGAATTTATCTTCAACCCTATCTCCCACTTTTTTTTCTTTTTTCAAGAAAACAAGGATTGTAGAGACAAATAGTAATATTTATCTTAATTGGTAGAGGGTTTTGGACTAACTTTGTATAGTTTGCTTATTTAGGGAAAGGGAAGAGCAGATTATGATTAACAAATTTTTCTCACTATCTAGCAAAGAATTGTTCCACTTTTCAGATTCTTTTATCTGTGTGGATTTCTAGTCCACTACTATCCAGTATCCATACCTCAATCTCTTCTTTAATATAGTTAAACATTTACTGATAAAGTGTTATATATATATATATATAGCCATCAATGCACAATCTCCCTACATAAACCATATTTAATATTATCTATCCATTAAATATTCTGTAAAATCTTTTGACCATCTTTCAAATTAAATTTTCATTATAGATCCATTTTATTCATTAACATCTAGTTTCCTTTTCATTTATCTATTCTTTATCAAATAGTTTTATTTGTTTCATCACAATAAATTCACTGCCAATGATATATAGGATGATGTAACTACCTTATTAGAATGATTGTTTCATGCTATTTTTCTTTTGGTTGTGATCATGTGGAGATATCAGTGAAATATAGCACTTCAAAGTGTTATTCACATGTTATATTAAAAACATTACCGAGGCAAGGACACGAATTGTTCTATATTCAGACTTACTTGTTCAATCTATTAATCAATAATGACTTTCAACACCAGAATGCTTTGAAAAATGTTACCGATTTCTTCACAGTTGAAATAATATAGATCTCATACAACGAACAGTCAATATTCTTTTTACCATAAAACAATTTGTCTGTACTGAGTTGAAAAACATATCAGATATACCGTCATCACCCAGTGGATGAAAATTTTCATGTTTTCCCGTTTTAACAAAGACCATGACAGCAGTACCCCGCATAACCCTAAACCCTAAACCGAATCTGAAAAGTTATATATATATTATAGCTATCAATGCACAATCTCCTACATAAACCATATTAATATGATTATCCATTAAATATTCTGTAAAATCTTTGACCATCTTTCCATTAAATTTTCATTATAGAACCATTTTATTCATTAACATCTAGTTTCCTTTTCATTTATCTATTCTTTATCAAATAGTTTTATTTGTTTCATCACAATAAATTCACTGCCAATGATATATAGGATGATGTAACTACCTTATTAGAATGATTGTTTCATGCTATTTTTCTTTTGGTTGTGATCATGTGGAGATATTCAGTGAAATATAGCACTTCAAAGTGTTATTCACATGTTTATATTAAAAACATTACCTGAGGCAAGGACACGAATTGTTCTATATTCAGACTTATCTTGTTCTCAATCTATTAATCAATAATGATCTTTCAACACCTAGAATAGCTTTGAAAAATGTTACCGATTTCTTCACAGTTGAAATAATATAGATCTACCATACGAACAGTCACTATTTCTTTTACCATAAAACAATTTGTCTGTGTTGTCTGTACTGAGTTGAAAAACATATTCAGATATACCGTCATCACCCAGTGGATGAAAATTTTCATGTTTTCCCGTTTTAACAATAGACCATGACAGCAGTACCCCAGCATAACAAGTTACCAAGGTACAAACATGATTGCTATACCATTACATTTAACAAATTTGTATCATACTACAAAACTTCTATCACATGTATTAAAAAAGCAATCTTTATAGGACAATAAAGAAAATGAGAATTGATAGATGATGCAAAGGAAGGATATAGATACTACCAAGCGTTCTCTTTCAGAAGGTCTCCCCGCAAAGCAGCTGGCTTTGATTCTTTTTATTGCTACATCAGAACCCTTCCACTTGCCATGGAAAACAGCTCCATAGGTTCCTGAACCTAATTCGCGTATCTCCTCAAGATCATCATTTCTTATTGTCTGAAAAAAGAATAAGCATAATGTCATGACCAAAAAGCATAAAATACCCAAGCCTTGGCAAAACAAGTCAAGATTTAGATAAGATGATGCAAATAAAAGAATTCACAAAGATAAGCTAGAACTATATTAATGACAAGAATGAAAGCGAATCCGAACCTGTAACCCCCTGGCAATAGCTTCAGCCTCTGCCTTAGTTGGCTCAATTTTGGAGTTTACATTGTCAGTATCAGAATCCATCTCCAATTCCCCATGAACGTTCTGTTCGACAAACCAAGATATAAAAAGGAGAACGATTAAATAACATATTTCTGGCAAGGAATTCACTAAACACTCACTGTTAATTCTGATTCATTTGTACGCACTTCTTTTGGCACTGAATCGGGCTTTCTAGAATCAGCATCTTCGTCAACTTTAGCTTTTACCTCCTCTGCCCCTTCTAGTGCTGCTCTTTTTACAGAAGCAATCAAATCAGGCAAGAAACTCAAACGGTTAGCTGAGAGCTGTGAATCTTCTGGAGGACCGTTTTCGCCTTGCTTCACAACATTACCACTCACTTCCCCAGTCCCCAAGCTATTCAGACCACTAGATTTATCAGCAATTGGGTTCTGTTCAGGAGAAGATATGCTTAGCGCATCAGTGTTTTCAACCTTTTTTATGTGATTTGTTTCATTTTCTTGTCCAAGGTTAGCTTTGTCCTCCATCTGAACTACTTCAACCACATTTTTATTTCTCAATCCCATATTGGAAATTGAAGATATGGACGACACCAATTTATCATGAACCAAAACTGAAGAATCTGATTGCTGCACAGGGTCTGAAGATTGGTGTTCATGATTATGGTTTTGTGGATTCAACTTTAGAGCTGGGCCGTAATAATATTCTGTAGGAGTGCCTGTCCCATCAAAACCCTGCACTTTTGGTGAGGACTCAACCCAAGAGTTTTGATTATCCAACCCAACACCAAGCCTTGGATTGCCATCCACTGTACCCCTAAGAAATGTAGGATTAACGGAACCATTAACAATTGGAGTAGATGCTTCATAAGAGGGAGCACTGTGCACTGGGTTCTGAACATTTCTCCACAAAGTTTGCGTCTGCACATGTCCATGAGATGCTGGGTGAAGATTATCTGCACCATAAGGAAAATTACCATACCGCACACGTTCTTCAGGTGGAGGAACATGCATGTGGGGCGCTGCAGCCACAGCTTGATCATGAAACATTTCATTCCCCATTTCAGGTCCTCGATGGTGAACGTGATTTGGGGACATATGATGACCCTCTGCCAGATTTCCATGCACATGAGGAAAATTTATGCCCGGACTATCCACCATGTAGGGATCACTCAATCTTCCAGCTCCAGAGATATGTGTTCTTACTTCGTCAACCCGAGGATTCAACTGATGCGGCAGAACCCATCCTCTTTCATGACTCTGACTCTCATTATACAAAGGTCGAGTATCATTCTGATCTTTAGGATACAAACCATGTGGCAACTTTGCTTCGGCATTCAAAAGAAAATTGTCCCTGTTTGGACGACATTCAGCTAATGGATTTGATCCCTGGGGAAATCCATTACCCATACTGGGCTGCTCCAAGTGCAGATGATTTCTGTGAATGGTAGGCCGGCAGAGCTCACAGACTCCATTCGCATCATAAACATGATGGCCATGAAGTAAATTACCAGGGAAACCAGTCTTATCTCCAGATATAGCTACTGGCGGCATCCTTACTAGATTCTCGGAAATTTGTGGCTGGGGTTCATACGTGGGATGATGATTTACATGTTGCCGAGCATATTCATCAGGCATTCTATCCTCGCCAAATGGCATTCGGTACCAGGCAGAAGAAGGCGAAGACGGGAACTCAGGTAATGGTCTTGGATCATGATGTCCATACTGCCTAGGAGAATAATATGCAGGACTCCATGGACCTTCCATTTCATTATACCTCTGAGTAACAGGCTGCTGAAGTTGCCCCGATCCCATATGAGGAATCGTTAGGTGATGCATATTAAACTGTGGCTGATTATGTAAACCACCCTCAAGACTCATAGTGTTAAAAAACCTATCCGCCAAATGAATATCATCAACCGCACCAAGCACTGGAGAATCCGGTTGCATCTTCCTAAAATCATTACCCTCATTCATGTTATTTAACGCGTCCACGTACCTCCTCTCAGTCTCCCTATCATCCCCATCAACATAATGCCCCGAACCATCCTGGTCCGGGTACGAAAACAGAAAAATCCTCAATCTTGTAAACCCATCACCAGAACCCAACTTCTCATACTCCTCCATCATGTTAGTGACATCATCATCATTAACAACCGATACCAAAGCATCAAGATCCTCATCCGGTTGTTGATACTTCAACATCACAGCTCCCTCATAAAGCTCTCTCATCCTATTCATCAACTCCTCATAACTCACATCCCTCGGCAAGCTCACAATCCGAGTCTCCCCACCTACATATCTCAATTTCCCATCTTGGGGCCTCGGCAAAATGCTACCTAAGAAACTACACAAGAATTTTACACGTGGGGTTTCGTCATTTGAACCCGGAGTTGAACCGGTGGCAGAAGGTGAATCCATGGAAAACACTGCTTCTTGATTATCAGAGTGAACTAATAATTTGTTCAAGGATTCAATTTCTTGATAACACATGGGGGAGTCATAAAAACTCACACCGTGTAGCTCATAACTCAAAGGTCACCACTCACCACTATCTATATCTTCAAGAAAGCTAATTAATAAACCCATAAAAATAAAAAAAAAAATTAAAAAAAAAAACCCTAAAGCAAAACCAGCCTTAAAATCAAGATTCAATTTTTATAAAAGGGGAGAAAAAAAAAAAAGTACCTGAATGAGACAAACCCAATTCAATAAATCGCACACACTCTCTCTCTTTCTATACATTCTTGGGATTAAGATTGAGAAGGTGATCTAATAAGAGGGTGGTTAAAAAAATTAAAAAAAAAAGGTTAAATAATTAAAAAAAAATGGTTAAAAAAAAAAAAATGAAGAAGAAGAAGAAGGGAGGGAGTGTTTTGTGAAGGAGAGAACTGTGGATTGCAAGGGAAAGAGAGAAGCGATGGTTGAACGCCAGGTAGTGACACACGTGGCACTACCTGGTTTCTCCGTTCTCCTTAGCATCTTCCTATTTATCAACTTCGTTTTCGAATATGCCTTCCTATTCCATTACGCGTGTGCCTCACTCACTTTGCTACCGACTTTTTTTTAATTTTAATTTTAATAATAATTTTTACTTAAAAAATAAATACATCTTTAAATAAAAAATAATTATTATATTTTTAAAGATGACTCTTTCCAAAAAATAAACGAGGACAATCATAGAAAGACATTACATGTTCTCTATTAAAATCAATTAATTATCAAATTTTATAAATATTTGATTCGTCGAATATTATTAATTTTTTTGGTTTCAAGTTTTAAGATCTTTTTTTTTTTTTAATTGAAGTACATAAATAATAAGAAATTGACTACTGACAATGGATCTTATAGGCCAAAAGAAAATATACAAAATGTGTCCATAAAAGAAAAAAAAATCAATAAGCTACAATAGAAAATAGGGTAAGAACTAATGAAATTAAGTGGTTTTTTTAAGTAATTTTTTTAATATAAGATATTGTTTTAAAAACTACTATACAATGTTTCTATTAAATGTTCTTCAAATATTATATATATATTTAATGATATTTTCAAATGAATTATGGAAAAAAAAATTATGGTGATTTTTAGAATGTTTTTGAAGGTTTAAGCGTAGTTACGAAATGAATATAGTCTATTTATTAATATATGCCATTTAGGTAAATTAATTTTGATAAATACTTTATTAATATGTTTATATGGATGAATATATTCTATTTCTATCTGCCGTTAATTTTTGTTTTAAAGTTTATAATATGATACTAAAATATTTAAATAATTCAAGGAAATGAAAAGAATATATTGACCTAGTGTGAATAGTCATAGAAATATTCCTTTGATTTAATAGCTAATGTGTTTTGTCAAACTAAATTTGATTTGAAATTGATCCTATGACTTTTTCTTTAAATAAAGTTAAGTGATAATATTGATTGAATTATTTATACGGTAATTATCATTCAGTTGACATTTTTGATTAATTAACATATACTTATCTGAAAAATATATTAAAAAAATATAATTGTTAATGACAAAGTGTTATAAAATACTTTTGATTAATCAAATGTAATTTATAACATTTTTTCTTTTTTTTAAAAAAAAAAATAGTGTCATATGAAAGATAATGTCATTAGTTTCAACAAAAGAAAAAAAAGATAATGTCAAATACTTATCAACTAAATTTAAATATTGTTTTCAAAAGTAATTTATACGTGAAAACTATAAAAAATTATCTAAAATAAATTGTATTGTATTGTAAACCATCTTAATATATATTTTATATTCATAATTTTCTCCATTTTGAGTTTGCTTCAAGTTCAAGATGAAGATACCCAAATTGAAATTAAATAAAAATATATATATTGGACTATTAATTTGAAAGCGGATATTTGTGGTATATTTTTATCACGTGTAAATAGCGCGTGGATTATACTTGTCATTCAAGCAAACTGGACTGATTCTGTATAAAATTGAGACTGCGGTCTATTACGAGCCCCACGCTCAGATTTGTCTCTCGCGAGAGTTCTTTTCTCGTGAAAAATCACGTGGGCCAGGAGAATGTTCGACCAATAATGGATTGCCAAATGGCACGAGATCCAAGACGATCACTTATGATCCGAACGGTGTGTGTGCTGCCACAGAAACATTCCGATTTACTTGTCTATTGGTTGCATAATGCTATGTCTTTTTTTGGGGTTTTTTAATTTAATTTTCTTTATTTTTTATCTTTAGTCAATTGTATTAGTTGTCTTGTACGATTTAACACAAGGCAGCTAACATGGGATAGTGGGGGCTGCGCTTACCAGGCTTAGATATTTATTGGCCTAAACAATCTTTTTTATTAATGGAAGCGCCATGTTCGCGCCCAAGGTTAAGCGAGATACCAAGTTTCCACTTCTGGTTTCATAAATTATATATTTTCATCCTTAAATTAATAGAAAAATATTTAATAAAATAGTATAAGGGTAAAATAATCCTTTAACCCACACCATTCCAAACCACAACACAGTCTTCCACCCCCCTCCCTCCCTCATTTCTCTCCCAGATCCAATTAACCACCTAACATCACCCTACCACTGTTGCCTCTCCTTCTTCCTCTTCTTCTCCTTTTTTCCTCCTCTCCTTCTTCTTCTTCTCTTCCTCCTACTTTCTTTCTTCTTCCCTCTTCTTCACTCTTCTCACTTCTCGAAATAGGCTCCGTAACGACTAGATTTGGGCTTCTCAAGGCCATCACGCTGTGGTCAAATCTGGCCACAGCGTGACGGCCTTACGACAGCCAAAATCCAACAGTCTCCACTTATTACCGAGATACTTCGTCGCTGACCTTTGCCCTTTTGGCCACAGCTTGATGGCCTTATGGTAGCCAAAATCCAACAGCTCCACCTATTACCGAGATACTCCATCACTGACCTTTGCCCTTTCGGCCATTTTGCTTCACCGCAACTGACCATTTCCACAATTGCCATCGCCGTAGCTATGTTTTGAAAAATTGTTGGTTGTTGGATTTTTGTAGGAGATTGAGGACGGATTTTGATTTCTGGTTGATTTGTTGGGGTATTTGATTGTTTTTGTTGCATATTATTGGTTTTTTTTAGGTTGATTGATGGATTGAAGTGGGTATTTTTGAAGTTCCTCCAACTGTTCGAGAAAAGTCTGAGGGATTTGCCTTTTCTTTTTGAGGTGGCTGGTGAGGGAGAAGGGCTACTACGAGATTGGGTTTCACAGATGCAGTTAGCTAGTGCGAATGGATAAGAGTGGTGGTGCGACGTTGGGTGGTAATGGTGATTGCGGTTGAGTTTTGGGTAGCTTTGTGGCTGGATATTGATGGTGGTGAAAGGTGGTGATGGCTGGGTGGCTATGAAATCAAAAGTCAAGGGCAGTATAGTAATAGCACACTCTTAATTGTTTCAAATGTCAAAATTCATTAACAGTGTTAATTTAAGGGTAAGAATCCGGAATTTATGAAACCATGGGTGAGAACTTTACATTTCGCTTAACCTTGGGTGGGAACATGTCGTTTACTCTTTTTATTAATGCCAACAACTATCAGACTTTCTATTACTGAGTATTATTTTGATCTTACATCGGTTTGAGGTTTATAAAAATTCAATTAGAATATCACAACAACAAAAATGGCCTACGGTAACATGCAAAAAGTGTTACCGTAGGTAACTCGTAGCATTTGTGAGGATGTTATGACAGCCCATGTTACTAAAAAGCAGACATTCGTAACACTTTTTGCATGTTACTAATCATTTCAGTAACTGACATAAAATGTTGTTGTTAAGTATATTGTAGCACTTATTCATAGTTACGAATGATTTTTGGTAACACTGCATAAATGCTATAAATAAGTTTTTTGTAACATTCTTAACCTGTTACAGTTTAGTTTTCTGTAACATTCTCAAAATGCTATAAATAAGTTTTCTATAACATTCTTAACCTGTTACAGTTTAGTTTTCTGTAACATTCTCAAAATGCTATAAATAAGTTTTCTGTAACTTTCTTAACTGTTATAGTTTAGTTTTTGTAACATTCAAATATATAAATAAGGTTTTTGTAACATTCTTAACCAGTTACTATTTAGTTTCTGTAAAATTGTTAAAATGCTACAGAAGAGTTTTTAATAACATGTTAAAAGTGCTACCAAAGTATCATTCATGCATTTAGTAAATGTTACAAAATTATTTTCATAACATTTTGAAAGTGTTATCAATGTGTCTGTTATAACATATATAAATTGTTATAGTGTTATTTAAATATACAAATTATAAAAAACGATACACTAATTCCAAAGAACATTTCATTGATGGTGACCTTCTATACAAAAAGTTTACATATATGCCTAATAAATAGGCACCCAAAATCCTTTACATCCATAAAATCTAATATGCTTCATATATTAATCACATTTTGTAACATATAAACCTTTCTACAAAAAGTTTTTTATATGCCTAACAAATATGCACCTATCATTTTTACATATAATACCTAGATGATTGGAAAATTAACAACCAATAGTGAATACCTTCCAATCATTCAAAAAATTCTAACAGCAAAAACCATCATGCAAACCATCTCCATTCCAAATTGTGCTTTAACAAAAAAGACTCTTCCATTCCAATTTTGCATACTGTAGTTTTGCATACTGTAGTTTGCAATTTTGCATACTGCAGTTTGCAAACTGCCTTGTTAATGAAGTTGTTAACATAGGCACAAAAAATGGTCATGAGAATACATATTTTACTGTAAAAACAAGAAACAAACCTACAAAACCATTAATACAAAAAAATCTTCAAATCCCAGTATATTCTCAAAGATGACAACACATATATATTGTGAATTCAAGAACAAATCAAGACAAAAGCACCAAATATTTAATGCAAACAAAGAGGAAAAGAACATGCTTAAATCTCTAACTTCACAAGATACTATGAAAACAGAAAATACTAGATAACAGTTCTAACAGAAAAACCTAAAGCCTTGTTAATGAAATTGTCCACATAGGCACAAAAAATGGTCATGAGAAATACATATTTTACAGTAATAACAAGAAACAACCTAAAGCTAATCACGTTTCTCACCAGCAAAGTCTCATTTATCAAACCCAAGGTCATAGGCTGATCAAACTTTTGTTCTAAAGAATAAGTTA